ATCCTTCTCTCTCGTGTGTAGGGAAGTTGGTGAAGGAGAAACAACGTGGTGGAGGTGTTCGTGCTAGGCGCCTCCGTGTGCTGGATTCCTATGCAAATGTTGTCGTTCTTGTTTCCGTCCGGATCTGACCACGCGAACAGTGACTATAATATTTACATCCCAGATTCTCAGCTGCAGGAAGGAGGCGTATTTTCTTCCTTGCTACTATGAGGAGGTGGTGAAGGGAAGGAGGAGGAGGGAGGAAGAGGGGGGGGGAAGGAAGAGGAGGGGAAGGAAGAGTGGGGAAGGAGGAGGAGGGAAGAGTGGGGAAGGAGGTGATATTTTTCCTGGGTACCATAGCGAGGTGGCGTCCGTGTTTAAAGAATCGAAGGAAGAAGAGGAGGGGGAGTAGTAGAAGGAGGAAGAAGATGAGGAGGAGGAGAAGAGGAGAAAGTGAAAGAAGAGGAGGAAGATGGGGTGTTGGTGATGGGGACGAGTAAAGCGAGGAGGAGGGAAGGAAGGAGGGGGGGGAGATGGAGGGAGGAGATTACATGAGAGGAGAAGAGGGATTGAAAGGGAAGGAAGAGGGAAGGAAGCGGTATACGAAGGAGAAAAAGAAGGAGGGGGAGAGAAGAAGGGATGGAGGGAAGGAAGGACGAGGCATTATTTTCTCCGTATGTCTGTATCTCCATATAGCGGACTTCTCTCCTTATATAATCCGTTAAATGGAGGGTTTCACATCTAATGGATCCTCGATATAACGGACTTCCATAGGTATTTCATTAGTTGTTTTAGGTGATGTTCTTTTAGAGAGAGAGAGAGAGAGAGAGAGAGAGAGAGGAGAGATAAGCAGCGAGAAAGGAGAGAGAGAAGGAGAGAGAGAGAGAAACAGAAATACAGAGAGAAGAGAGAGAGAGAGGTGGAGGGTTAAGGGCATTCAGGAAGATGCATACAGGATGGAAGGCGACACTGGAAATGAGATGGAGAAGATGGAAGAGGAAGGAGGGAGAGGGAGAGGAGGGGAGAAGGAGAGGTGGGAGGGAGAAAGTAGGGAGGGGAGAGGAGAAGGGAGAGGAGGAGGAGGAATAGGTGAGAGCAGAGAGAGGAGGAGGGGATTGAGAGGGAGGAGGGAGGAGGAGCAGGAGGAGGGAGGGGGAAGAGGGGGAGAGGGAAGGAGAGAGGAAGAGGAGAGAAGGAAGGAAGAAATAGAAGAGGATGACAATAAATGGATAAATACCAACAAAGATAAAACAGGAGATGAGAAAGAGAGAGAAACAGAGAAAAGAGAGGAGAGAGAGAGAGAGAGAATATTGGTATTCATAGAGGCCTGACGCAGCTCAAATTAACGCATTGTTAGATAGAATAAGAATGATGAGAGAATGAATTAAAGAAAGGGAAGAATGAAAACGAAATCAACCAAAAGAGAAAAGAATAGAGAAACAAAAGCATAGGAGGATTAGAAGATGAGAACGAGAAGAGACTAAAGACAAGGAGAGAGAGAGAGAGAGAGAGAGAGAGGAGAGAACGTAAAGGAGAGAGAAAGAGACAGAGAAGAGAGAGGATAGGAGAGACACAAAGAGAGAGAGAGAATAGTTGGAGGTCAGAATCTGGAAATTAAAACCTGAGGAAATATGTGTGACGGTGTTTTTAGACCCACAGTACCTGGCCGCCATCTTTGTTGATATACATAGATTCAAAATGCACGCTATAAATTTCAAAAATCTATAAGTAAGAATATAATCAAAATATGGGGAACTAACCACAAAATTCACCTGATTCCTGAACGCCAGACTACACTGACCTGTATATTTACATTCACTTAAAATAATGTTATATTTGACTGAAAAAAATTACTACAAACAAACACAAAAGTACTCATTATTTAAAAAAAATTATGCGACAGTAAAACTATGAAAAGTGAGTAGATTCAACCATATGCAAATTATTTATACAGCATTGTTTTCAGTATACAGTACATAGCATCACACCAGCAGCATCACTAACAGTCAGAAATATTGGCAAATGTCGTTCTCCTCAACACATCGGCAAGCTTCAATGCATCGGCAGGTCAGACTTCTTACACTTGCAGCACGGACTTTGGCACCACTTTCTGCTGCAGGACTATGGGGCAGGAGACGAGGACATGAGGCGGAAGGAGAGGGGGGAAGAGGGGGGAGAAGAAGGGAGAGGGAGGGAGGAAGAGGGGTGAGAGGGAGGAGGAAGAGGGGTGAGAGGGGAGGGAGGAAGAGGGGAGGGGGGGGAGGAAGGGAGGGGAGGAAGAGGGGTGAGAGGGGAGGAGGAAGAGGGGTGAAGGAGGGAAAAGGGAGAGGGAGAGGGGGAAAGAAGGAGGAGGAAAGGGGAGAGAGGGAGGGAGAAGAGGGTGAGAGGGAGGAGGAAGAGTGGGTGAAGGGAGGGAGGAAGAGGGAAGAAAGGGAGAGGGAGGGAGGAAGAGTGGGTGAAAGGGAGGGAGGAAGAGGGTGAGAGGGAGGGAGAAGAACAGGGGAGAGGGAGGAGGAAGAGAGGGTGAAAGAGGGAGGGAGGAAGAGGTGGGAGACGGAGGGAGGAAGCTTGGGGGACCCAGGATCAAGCCACATAGAGCCTCCTGACTGACTGATGCTTGGTGGTCACAGGCTTGATGTGATGTGACAAAGCTAGCTGTAGGGACTCTGACGCACGAAACTTGACAAATAGGATTACACGGGCCTGATCCAGTAGGTTATATGCTGTGTGATGTACCTGTAGGTGTATAACTCCTCGTGTCTTGAGGTTTCTTATGTGAATTTACCTTTACCAGGGTTATAGAGGAACTCATGATGTCTGAACAAGTCCCAAGTATGTGGTGGCGCTGTGTCCTCATGTGAGAGATGGTGTGTCCGAGCTGCTTCGGAAGATGATCTGGTGCATTAAGCGGACCCAATGGCCGTAAAAGATTTGAGATGGAACAGTTTTTCCTGTCGCTGTCATCACACAGAGTTGTTTACATGGCTGACGGTGAAGGAGAACCATCACATGTGTCCCGTGCTCGAAGTACAACTGCCTCTCCACGCACACACCGCCCTCTCTTTCTCTCACCCTCTCTTTCTCTCTCTCTCTCATTCTGGTGTCGGCCTCCGCATGCCTCGCTTCCAGCTTTCTTGTGTCAACATCGTTGGTAGATAACCACACCATTTCTTCGTGGTTGAACCTTCCATCTGTCTATTTATTCTGAGAGAAACCTTACCAAACCTTCTTCAGTTTCCGGTTGTGTCATAAAGTTGTTACTCCGAGGAGAAGAACACCTTCCTGTCCTGTCACTCCCCGTGTTGGTTGACTCCCAGTGTTCCTGTTCCCGCCCTGGTGGACAGATCATATACTTCCCGTCTAACACAATGTCTCCAGGCTGAGAGTTGGCTCCACCTCGAGGACCAACTGTGCACCAAACTATCTACAAAGTCACCAAAGGTACCGTAGAGAGTCCATGAGGCTTCCAAATGGCTGAACTAGTGCCTGGCCATCAATCACGGAGCAGTGAGGCAGGGTGGTGTGGGAATATCTGTAGTCAGGTCTTTGGCCAAAATTGCTGCATCTGCTGGTCGAAAATTCCACACTGCTCAACCTGTAAGACGGGAACTACATGCAGATCAGGTCAGAGACTTATTACAGTTCACCTTTCTTCCACTTAATGTGTTGTTGTGAGTCGCCGCAGGATTGATCTGTCTTTTCTCTGTGTTTCCCTTTCTTGGCCCTGTACTGTACTGTACTGCTCTTTGTCGTGTCCAATAAACTCAAGCGTTTTTGTGAAGTTCTTTCGCTGTGAGACTCGGAGCTTGATTATTCTGTCCTCACAAGGTAAAAGTTGTTCTTCCACGAACTTGTGTACAGTACAGTACCTACCCTGTCCTTTATGCTGTGTATTCATAAGATCCTCCTATATCTTTTTGGTGACGAGATCCTTTGTCGCTCTGTCCTGCACGATGGTTGGCTGCTGTTCAGAGGTAACTTCCCCAACAATCTGTCCTCCTCCAGCGTCTTCTATAAGGAGAGTTACGCCATCAAAGTTCGAGCACGAGGTATACAAAACAGCGGTGCCTAGCGAAAAGTTGGCGTAACTCTCCTTATAGAAAGCGCTCTTGTTGTCCTGGTTCTTTCTGCCTCTGGTGGAGTTGGTTCCTTCTCCCCCTGGTGGAGTCATTGTGCACATACGAGTCTTCCACACTGTTCTAGCGGCAGGTGAAGTGTGGGTGTTCATGTTCAATCCTAATCCCCATCTGCTTACTACTGTACCCCCCCCCCCTCCTCTCCATGGACACAAGACAAACACACAGTTGAGTTGTAACATAATTCATCGTATTTCGTATGACCTGTAACCAAAGTAAAGAATCTTAAATCCTTCAGATATATCGATCAGAAGCAGAAATATGACACTTGTACATATAATTGCGGCCATTTATTATTATTATTATTTGTAGTAGTAGTAGTATCTTTATCATTATCATCATCGTAGTAGTAGTAGCTGTATCACCGTCATCATCACCATCATCATCATCATCACGAGGGCTACACCGTTCTCACCTTCCCGTACCTGAGTTAAATTATGCCTGGCCACGTGTGGATCATACTAGCTCCTGGCTCCTCCTCCCCAACACACACACCATTCATATGCAAATGGGTTTTTCCATGAACGTTACGTCATGCACACTACTTGTATTTTGAGTACCACATCAATTTTCCTCTCAATATGTTTTAAGTTTACGGCAACACAGAGACTGAATATTAAAAATGATAATAATAATAGAAGAGTTTGGAGAAAGGTTTGGGTTGGTTTGGACAAGTTGTTTATACTAGTGTTGGTGTTAACTGGGATTGACAGTATTGGGGACCAGCTGTCAGAGAGATCCCCAGCTGTCAGAGAGATCCCCAGCTGTCAGAGAGAGATGCCCAGCTGTCAGAGAGAGCCCCAGCTGTCAGAGAGATGCCCAGCTGTCAGAGAGAGATGCCCAACTGTCCAGAGAAGATGTAAGAGAGCCCCAGCTGTCAGAGAGATGCCCAGCTGTCAGAGAGATGCCCAACTGTCAAGAGAGATCCCCAGCTGTCAGAGAGATCCCAAGCTGTCAAGAGATCCCAGAGATCAGCTGTCAGAGATCCCCAGCTGTCAGAGAGATCCCCAGCTGTCAGAGAGCCAGCTCAGAGAGATCCCAGCTGTCAGAGATACCAGCTGTCAGAGAGAGATGCTTAGCTGTCTGTCAGAGAGATCCCCAGCTGTCAGAGATCCCCAGATCGAGATATGCCCAGCTGTCAGAGAGAGATGCCCAGCTAGTCAGAGAGATGCAACCTGTCTAGATCAGCTGAGAGGCTGGCTATCAGAGAGATGCCCAGCTGTCAGAGAGATCCCCGAGAGAGGCTGGCTGTCAGAGAGATGCCCAGCTGTCAGAGAGAGAGCCCCCAGCTGTCTGATCCCCAGCTGTCAGAGAGATGCCCAGCCTGTAGAGGCCCCAGCTGTCAGGAGAGATCTTGACTGTCAGAGAGTAGCTGTCAGAGAGATGCCCAGCTGTCAGAGAGAGCCCCAGCTGTCAGAGAACTGTGTCAGAGAGATCCCCAGCTGTCCCCAGCTGTCAGAGAGAGATGCCCAGCTGTCAGAGAGCCCCAGCTGTCAGAGAGATGCCCAGCTGTCAGAAGAGATATCATCTGTCCCAGATCCCCAGCTGTCAGAGAGATCCCCAGCTGTCAGAGAGAGATCCCCAGCTGTCAGAGAGAGGTCCCAACTGTCCCCAGCTGTCAGAGATCCCCCAGCCAGAGAGAGAGATGCCAGCCAGAGATATGCCCAGCTGTCAGAGAGAGATGTAGCTGTCTGTCAGAGAGATCCCAGCTGTCAGAGATAGCTGTCAGAGAGATGCCCAGCTGTCAGAGAGAGATGCCCAACTGTCTGTCAGAGAGATCCCCCCCAGCCCCTGTCCAGAGAGCCCCAGCTGTCAGAGAAGTGCCCAACTGTCAGAGAGAGATGCCCAGCTGTCAGAGAGAGCCCCAGCTGTCAGAGAGATGCCCAGCTGTCAGAGAGAGCCCCAGCTATCAGAGAGATGCCCAGCTGTCAGAGAGAGATGCCCAGCCGTCTGTCAGAGAAGATCCCAGAGAGATGCCCAGCTGTCAGAGATGCCCAGCTGTCTGTCAGGGAGAGATGCCCAGCATGCTGTCAGAGAGATCCCCAGCTGTCAGAGAGATCCCCAGCTGTCAGAGATCCCCAGCTGTCTGAGAGATCCCCAGCTGTCAGAGATCCCCAGCTGTCAGAGATCCCAACTGTCAGAGAGATCCCCAGCTGTCAGAGAGATCCTAGCTGTCAGAGATCCCCAGCTGTCAGAGAGATCCCCAGCTGTCAGAGATCCCCAGCTGTCAGAGAGATCCCCAGCTGTCAGAGAGATCCCCAGAGAGTCAGAGAGATGCCCAACTGTCTGTCAGAGAGACGTCCAGCTGTCAGAAGACGCCCAGCGCTGTCAAGAGACATCCAGCTGTGAGAGACGTCCAGCTGTTAGAAAGGCCTGTCAGAGACGTCCAGCTGCAGAAGAGAGACGTCCAGCTGTCAGAGAGACGTCCGCTCCAGAGACGTCCAGCTGTCGGTAGAGACGTCCAGCTGTCAGAGAGACGTCCAGCTGTCGGAAGACGTCAGCTGCTGTTAAGACGTCCAGCTGTCAGAGAGACGTCCAGCTGTCAGAGAGACGTCCAGCTGTCAGAAGACGCCCAGCTGTCAGAGAGACGCCCAGCTGTCAGAGAGACGTCCAGCTGTTAGAGACGTCCAGCTGTTGGCAGAGACGTCCAGCTGTCAGAGAGATGCCCACTGTCGAAGACGCCTAGAGAGAGACGCCTAGAGAGACGCCTAGCTGTCAGAGATGTCCAGCTGTCAGATAGAGGCCCAGCTGTCAGAGAGAGATCCCCAGCTGTCAGAAATTCACAGCTGTCAGTGAGGACCGTAAACAGACCTCATTACAGATATCATTTGGTAGGTAAAGCCATTATGTAAAGCAGGTAGACAGACATATGTAGTATTACCAGAGCGAGGAGGAGTGTGTACACGTGGGAAGAAGGGAAGGAGGGCGAGGAACGAGGGAAAGAAGACAAGGGAAGGAAGGAAAGGAGGGAGAGCGAGGATAAAGGGAGGAGAAAGGGGACAAAGGAACGAAGGAGAGACAAAGGGGAAGGAAGGAAAGGGAGGGAGGGATGATGTGAAAGAAGGATAGAGGAAAGTACGGCGAGGAACGAAAGGAGGGAGGGAAGAAGGGCAAGGAACGAAGGAGAGAGGGAAAGAAGGCGAGGGACGAAGTAGAAGGAAAAAAGAAGACGAAATTAAGTAAGTAAGGAGGCTGGCTAGTTATCATTTACATCAACACATAAATCGAGTTGCAATATTATAAAAGGAGGAAAATATAATACCCCAAAATAATATCACCTAACGTAAACTATATTATAAAAGGTGACACTATAACCCGAATCTTTCTATAGTATCACCTAACGTAAACTATATTATAAAAAGTGACACTATAACCCGAATCATTCTATAATATCACCCCACGTAAACTATATTATAAAAGGTGACACTATAACCCGATTCTTTCTATAATATCACCTAACGTAAACTATATTATAAAAGGTGACACTATAACCCGAATCTTTCTATATCATCAGGAAATATAATAGACTGGCAGCAGAGAGGGAATATTAAGAGAGGCTCGTAGGTCATGCAGACGGGGCGGAAAACAACCTTAGGGGGGGAAATGATATAACAGCCCCGAGGTTATATTACGAGGCCTGGCGTGAGGTATTGGGGGACACACATACACACACACAACCTTGAGATAAACGAAGATAGTGTTATAGATCTCTCTCTCTCTCTCTCTCTCTCTCTCTCTCTCTCTCTCTCTCTCGTCGATGTGAAAGAGGAGACCGAGAGACTGGGAGGGAGGGAGGGAGGGAAGTTTGGTGAAAGGGAGAGGGCGGACGGGAGAGAGAACTGGGAAGAAAGGTAGGGGGAGGGATGGTGAGTGGGAGAGGAAGGGAAGGAGAGAGGGAGGGAGGGAGAGGAAAGGGCGACTCTCCCAACTATGATGAAGCCTCGTCTCAGGAAATCTTTGACAGAGAGGAAAAAAAAGGAAACTGAAAAAAGGGGAAAACGGTTCATCTTTACCGGATACTGAACGATTTTCTTCAGAGTCCTAGACACAGTGGCTGATTACTCTTACCATTCCGGGCCTACTGTGAGGGGGAAGGGGGGGAGGTAGGGGAAGGGTGGATGATGGGTTAGGGTGGAGGAGAGTTAGGGAATGAGGGGAAGGGGAGGAGGGATAGGGGAAGGGTGGAAGAGGGGGGGAATAGGGGTAGAGGAGAGGTAGGAGGAGGAGGGTAAGGGTGAGGAGGAGAGGGGATGAAAAGGGAAGAAGAAGAGAGGTGAAAGAAAGGGAAGGGAAGGAGGAGAAGGGAAAGGGAAGGAGGAGAAGGGAAAGGGAAGGAGGAGAAGGGAAAGGGAAGGAGGAGAAGGGAAAGGGAAGGAGGAGCAGGGATCTTTTAATTTACTTTGGACGCATTAATAAAACATACCATTGGTTTATTTCCCGCCACAACCACATCTGGTGTGTGATGCGGCTATGGTCTCCTGACGCAGTACTTACAGCTCCTCCGCCCCCCCGTCGTGAACCTCCCCAAGACAACCCCTGGCTGGAGAAGACGTTCCCCCACAACTTGAACTGGTGCTGGGTTATAGTCAGCCTACGGGAACGAACGTAAAGCACAGGTGGACGCCCTCCTTCCGGCAGTGTAGAAGGCCGAATTGTCCCCAAGTTCCATGGTCGTCATCTGGTGGTGGCGCCAGTCGTCGTAACACCGATGGCAGCCTATGGAAAGGTTCTAATTGTTTCTTAATGTTTTGTACCGTCCACTAGTGCTCTAGGACTCTCGGAGAAGGGGGATGGGGGGGGGATAGATGGGTAGGTGGGAAGGGAGATGCGTAGGGGGAAGGGATGGAGAGAGTGAATGAAGATGGATGGGTGAGTAAGTGGGAGAGAAAGAGGGAAGGGGTGTGGAAAGGAGGGAGGAATGGGGGAATTAAGGGTGGGGCTAGCGGGAGGAAAGGAAAAATTTATGTAAACAAAGAGAGGCAGAGTGATAGAGAGAGAAAGAGCGAAATGATGGAAGAGAGGAAAAGAAAAGAGAGAGACACACAGAGAGAGGAACGAATGAAAGAAGAAACGAGACAAACTGAAAGGTAAAGGAACAAACGAGAGGGAGAGAGAGAGGCCCGATCCCCGTCCTAGTAGTGGGGAGTGAAATGTATATGAAATCTATAGACGAAACGAACCCGTAAGTTAGATCCTGACAGTTATTACGATCCTCCCGGAAATACAATATGGAGGATTGAGCACCAAGGAATGTGGCATTTGAACCCATATAGAGAGTCAGCCAGGCGTCGCAGGGTGTCAAGGCGCACCTTATAGCCAGAGAGGATATACCCGCTGCTGTCCCTTTTCCAATCGTCTATTGGAACCCATCCCAGGGGCAGCTATAAGCAAGAGTCTGTGTATTTCCGATTTACTTCAAGTATTTATTTGCCCTTTATTTTTTCCCTGTATCATAAATTCAGTTGTTTTTCTCTCTTCCTTGGAACTTGTTTGGAAAAGTTTAAAAAATTATTTTGTTGTTTTGAGAAATAGGTTAGTAAATTACGGAAAATATATAGATAGTCTCTTCCAGCCTCCTCTACAGAACCTGGATATAGTTTTGGAAATTCCCTACATAAAGTTTTGCTATAAATATTCGAACCAAACATTGAAATAATAGGCCCCATTACTAATAGGCTCCAGTATTAATAGGCTCCATTACTAATAGAGCCCAGTCCTGTATTGTGTGTAGACGTTGACAGGTTATGGTAGGTTAGGTTAGGTTAGGTAAGACACTTCAAAGTCCACCCAGTTCTAAATGTTTATACCTTACTTTACAGATGGGGAAGTGAAGGCGGACGAGTACAGTGACTGCCTCCTTGTACACCGAAGGTTTGGTGTACAGTGTGCAGTCAGGCTTCTGGTACTCACATTCTCACTTAGCCAGGTAGGAATTCCTCTCACTGTAATTATACCTGTACTTGTACTTAGCTGAATTACTTCACAAACACTTGTATGTATCTATACGAATTTATTTTCTTCTTAAACTGTAGGTAATGCAGTGATCTTAGTGACGAGAGAACATACATACATACATACATACATACATACATACATACATACATACATACATACATACATACATACACAGGGAGAGAAACCCGTGACATGGATGCAGGTTAGTAGCCTCGTCAGCATCTGGAGTCTTGTCGCTAAATCATGAGTCACATCAAAATAATCCAAAATAGGTATATAATTATCGAGCAGATGACAGTCTCATTTTTCTAGACTAGTTTTTGACACTAATTCCTGGTGTTAATTGTTTCCTGTGTAAATGTTTAGTTTCTGAGTTATAGCCGATTTTATATATACGATCACCATAAGACTTTTAATGCATTGTTGTCTGGCCACGTAAAACAGTAGCCGTGGTTTACATAGTTAGGCTACGATATACTATAATTATTTTGGGACGCTTGTATATAAAATCGGTTATAACTCAAAAACGAAATATTTGCTCATAAAATATTTAGCACCATTGAAATGAGAAGAAACTTAGCTAAAAAAAATAAAACCTGTAATACTTGGACTTGTCATGATGCCGATATTAACCACACAATATCCTTCTGGATCACAACACTACAGTAGCCAACCGCGGCGCCCCGGCAAAGGTAACACGTTATATATACCGTAAGTTAGTTAAAAAGTAAATACAGTTTATACAAATGTCACTAATCTGTATGTTA